ATATATATATATATATTATTGCACGTGTCTAAAAACTTCTTAAGATATTATTCAATAAGAATTATCTCATCACTATCAGGTACATCAGGTGTAGATTTATACCATGTTAATAAATTTTGAAGTTGGTACCACCTGGATAATTTCATATCACCAGGTAATACCCATTTTAATTCATGAGAAGAAATTTTATTACCTTTATGAAAAACATATAATTTCATTTGGTCATTAATAACAATTTGAGTATTAAGTACTAAAATATCATTTTCATAATCAAGTTTATAAAAATAAATTTTAGATTTTATTAATTTGATATTCCAACAATCTGAAATTATAAGTTTTTCTTTATACTTATTCACTAAATTTGAAAAATCTGTGATTAAATCTAAGTCTTTACATTCTTGGACTAAACATTCATCATTTGGAATAACTTGTTGCTTGGAATAATTATGTTCTTTGAAATTTTTTCTGCGTTTCAGTCTTGAATAAAAGGTTTTTTTACTTTCGTGTCTTGAATAAGTTGACACATTAGGAAAAATAGAAGGTACTGCATTCTCTACAAGTTTTGGACGACACAATAAAACATTTTCAATTGTATTATTAGTACATACAATTTTTTCATATCTTTGAATATCATTTTCAGCAAAATGAAAACTACAAACTGCAGAATATTTTGTAGGAGACCAATTTTTTCTAGGAATAGCAGCTAACCATTTTTTTCTCAATTCTTCATTCTTTGGAAAGAGGAAAACGGAAGCATAATTATTTGATTTCAAAGTGCTGTCGTAATTTCCCTTACAACCAGGAATACAGCAACGTCTTGGCATTTCTATCGTATAAAATTTTAATATAAAAAATTTATATATTACTATATGCTTATTAATGCTAATAATATAATATTATCTTCTAATCTAATTGATTTCAATGATCTTCCCCTAACCAACTTTTCTCGTAAGTTATATTTTACGCTCATTTCCACTTATATCTCCACTTAACCTCTTTCGCTTATTGGTATTAACGATCTTCTTTTCTTTATACTTTTACCAATTTTCATAAGTTTCTTTGTCCACACTTAAAAACTGTAATTTCATTTAAAAATAATTTAAATTTATTTCACAGACGTATTCGTCAAAGATTAACACGTAAAATAAAAAGAACATGAATACAATAACCAAAATATTGGTATATTATTTCTACTTACTGCAAGTATAAAATATTTACATATTGCTTATATATGCATATTAAAGAATATCATGTATATTTTTTACTATTAATTCCTCCAGAAAAGAATGAGAATCAAAATTGAACAGCAGAATCTATCCCAAGACTCCTAGTTTCAACAATCGGACTCTACCGTTTGCAAGAGCAGTGTTGCCACATTATTCTCATTGTGCCGTGTATCCGAGTTTCCTACACACGGTGAGACATGCCTCGCCGCGTGTAGCGAGGCACTAGTTTCTGATACATACATATCAGGTTGCATGACGTATCGCTGAGGCAATCGTTGTAAGCTACGTACGAGAGACGACACTTACCCGAGCAACTTGCCTCGAGACAGTTTGCATTATCTACGTGTGCAACAAAATTGTACCACTTTTTTCGTTGAAAGACTCATTACTTTTATAGGAAATTTTTCTATAGTATAGTAGAATATGTGTTCGATAGGAGATCGTAAATTTTGGGAAGAATTCATCGCGTTGTACAAGAGTTTCCCGTGCTTGTGGGATATAAGATCGAAGTCGTACATGGACAGAAATCTAAGAAACCATGCGATGGACGTTTTAATCGACAAATGCAAAGAGATAAATTCCATGTCGAATAAAGATTTCGTTAATAAAAAAATTCACAACTTGCGATGCAGTTTCAGAAGAGAGTTGAATAAAGTTAAACGGGCGAAAGCGTCGGGGAAAAACGTATACGTACCGAGTCTCTGGTATTTCGATAATTTAAGTTTTATAACAAACTGTGATGATGCGAAGAAGGGGGAAAATTTTAACGATGCTGATGCGGATTTGGAAATTGATCGTGACGATAATGGAGTAAGTTAATCA